CCTACTTTGAGGTCTATTTTCTGGAGATTTGGGGTTGAGGAAGTAATCCTTTCATCTTTAATTATATTTTCTAATTTTAACTGCTTTGAGATGAGGTGTATTTGTTATATATGTGAGTATTTAAAAGAAAGTGTGCTTCAAAGGAATGAACACAATAAGACGTTTCCTCGACTGGAGCTATTACAATTTATTTTGTAATTCAGGTGTCCTTCTCTTTGACGAACAATTTTCTGAATCGGAAATCTATTACGTCACATTTGACCAAACGGAAGAAAGCCAACAGTTGACTGTAGTGACATCTGTAGATTTCTTCGCTGTCGACCCAATCAGTCTTCATTCCACGCTTTTAAAAGCCAAATCTGCCGTGCGTTTCCATTTTTCTATCGCTGGTGTAATTTGTTTCTGATTTCTTCCTTTACAGATAGCGAAATGTGAGAAGACTGCGGAGGAGCTGTCCAAAACTTTAGAAGTTGACATCGACCGATTAAGACCTGAAAGAGGGTCCGCGATGTAACTGTGCATTTAATGTTGCTCTGTTTAACTCCTAAAAACTTTAATACTTTTAGGAAGAATGGTTTTCGACATGTTTTATTCACCGGAATGCATTGTCAGTCTTCTTTTGAGCAGTACTCAAATGCTTCGATGACGTCATATAATGTGGTTTCTTAGTTTTTGTGTTTTGCCTTTGGTTTGATGAATTCCTATTGTTTCAAAAATGAAAAAAAATGAAAGCTGTTCAGGAGTCTATCAGCAGCGCAGCGCTTCCACCCTACTACACATATATGTACACATCTGACAAAGTTTTTTCGACTTTTGCATGGACCAGCGATGCGGACAAAAAGAAAATTTGGCAAGAAGCGATCAAATATGGCAAATCTGTGAGTCAATAAATCCAGTTTTTTTTCAGTTGTTAATTGGTTTGCTTATAGTTTGTACCACATTTTGGACTTCGCGATATGCTCGGGTTTTCTACATCACCGAGAAAAAAGACCGCAGTGTCGCAGCCGTCTCGTGTGATTACAACCCGTGGGACATTAGACGATTCCAGGCTTGCTGTAGGAAACAGCCGTGGAAGTATCGAGAGGGCTGGTGGCTATTGTGGATCACATAGCTAGGGTTATATTAATTGATGTGAGTCTCTGCATGTATAGATCTTTCTCCAACAGAATTCTATTATACGCTTTCATTTTTACGATCGTTGTACTTTATGTGGGTATCGAGCGTGCGATCGTGAGCAGGCAGCCTTCCAGTCACTATGTAGAACGTTTCTAAGGGATGCCGGCTTGTGACCACGCGCTTATTGCTTTTAATTCACCTGCTGGATTTGGTCTAATTTCGTGGCCAGAAGATGGATCCCTGTGAACTTATGCTTGGCTGTACAGCTGTTCAATTTTGGGCTACAGTTGCCGCTTCTCGGCCGCTATTCATGTCTTTCCACATATTTTTTTGCCTCAGTTTTTTATTATGTAGTGGCTCGTGCACTTTTGTGCCGTGTTTTTTAATGTTATATAAGAGCGTTTCTTGTGCTCATGTGCTCATTATGAGTCTAGAAACCTTTTTTATACACATCTTGACTCTCATCTTGACAACGGCGGGCTTAATTTCTCACTGGGCATTCACCTTTAAAAGCCAGCGAACATGGAACGTACGACCGATTTCGGCGCTGTCCTTCCCTTGATCTACATAGTGCCTGCAGCTCCTGTTGAAAAAAATAGGAAAAGGACTTAACTTAATGTTTGACCCTTAGGTGGGAGTTGCTAATAGGCATTGAACCTTTTCGTCTCGTATAACTTCGTATAGATTATTCAGAAATGCATCTTTGAAATATCTCTGATAGATTATTCAGAGAATGCCATCGGTGGATACAGTGGCTGTTTGTTCTAATTTATGTTTCAGATTGTGAACCGACAAATAATTAGGATATGGAAAGGTTACCGAGAGGCTACTGTTGCGTGGATTAATTCGTCAAACAACGAACAAACTGCGCTGTTTCTTGCAATTTTCGCTCCACGCCGGGCCCTGCTTGAAGTTTGGAATGTACAGGTATATAGTACTTGCTACTGATTTGTTTTACATCAATTTTGACGAGTTGCGGATTTTTTTCACGGAGCCTTTCAAAGGGGCTTTGCACTGCCCCTCTTCTATGATCTTGGCAAAAGTCACCTACATACTCAAAAAGAACTCTAAAGTATCGCGCTGGTGGATAAATTTTTCAGAGTTTCTTGATTCTTTATTGTAAATAGTTAACGATACACATGATTTGAGTCCTCAATGTTTGAAAGAGTTACAGAGCGGAGTCAGGGTCGGTGCTATACACGTAGACCCAGCAGGAGTTTTGATAGATGGAGGAGTCGCTTCCGTGTTGTGTGGCACCCATAACCCTAAGTTTCAACGTGATGCCTTCTTTGTAGATAGCCAGGTGAGTAATTCTACGACCAACTTTCACTGATCGATAATTGTTTAATTCTTTGAATGCTTGTTCTAGGGAAAATTTAGCCGATTAGTAGTTCCGTTCCACCTTTCAATGCTTCGCGTTACTTCACAGGATCAGCACGATCAATTGTTACTATCGAAGGTTCGTAGATTTCTAATTACATGAACCCTTTTGTTTTTATATATTCGGATTTCAGTTTTCTTCTTCGCCTTATTTGGACTCTTTCATGGAAATCTATACAATGCTTCGAATGTCCAAATCAAGACGTGAACTGATTTTGCTAATTCTGCCACTTGTTAATGATTCCTCCAAACTTGGAAAAGATTTTGGATGCAATACCGAAGGTAAGTGGAATCAACATGTTCTTTCTACCTGGAGAAGGTCATTATTCGGTACCACTGATGATGTTTCCTCGATTTAATTCATGGACGTTTTCAAATTTTGTTGGGAACTTCACTGTCAAAATTTTCGATAATTTTTTTCAATGATGAGTCTATTCGAAACCATACTGCGAACTCCAAGTTCACAAGCGGTTGTTCAGGCATAAGTGTATTTCAGTACGCATTTGCATGTTGCACGGAAGAACGTATATGTAGAGATTTTTTCCTGGAATGCTGCGTAAATGCCAAAAAAATTTACTTCCACGATTCCCATTTTCTTCTGCTCATATACGCCTGAAACCATTCTCGGAACGGAAACACTTTTTTCGAGTGTGCTTAACCTTACAGATGCGATGAAGTTATTGAACATATAACAATGTGTCTGCCAGAATATTTTTCCCACACCCTTTTGGCTTAGATGGAGAAGAAATTGATGGCTTAGATGCCAAGAAGTTAGCATCATTTCTCTGTTCCATACATTTAACATTGTTACTTTCGAAGAATAATTTCGAAAAAGTACCCTAGCTGGCTATCCTGCTTGAAGTGCACCTTGACACTGTTGCCTGCCTTTCGGCTGTGGCTAACATCCAAGGCGGACACTTTTTGTCAAGAAAAGGACCGCCCGCGACCACAGAAGCATCTGTGAATTATCGCAAATTCCCTGCAAAATGCCACTTATGTTACATTCTTACTTTCCATATTGTGTTTAGTCAGATGGTGCCGGTCCTGTAGAAGAACTGCTGAGCTTCGTGAGACGGCAGCTGAATGTATTCAACAGGAATCGTTAAATACAGCAGACTAGCGGTGGAAAAAACCAGTGATGTTCCGGAGAGTAATTTTAATGAGGAAGTGCAGAGTGTGATCCGTAGGCACTGTATGGATGGCGAAGAGTGAGTTTTAAGTCATGGTTCATTTGAAAACCTTCAATTCTTCCTCAAACCGCACATTATTTTTTGGCTGATTCGCTGGGCGCCACTCCACTCCCCAAATTTTGCAATTTGCGGTTCGCTCTGATTGCTTGAAGTGTTTTGTCTTTAGCCGCTCATAAGTGTATTCTTGTGTGCTTTAGTGAAAAACAGTAGTCCTCTTCTTCTGTCAAGAGGAATTGACGATTAATTGTTATACCTCACTTTGAAATTTTCTTTGCCAACGTTATTGTTAAAGGAATCGGCCGTCCTACAATGAGTGTTGGTGAGTTTCTTGGATTTATCGACTGCAAATCGACGAGCAGTGCCCTGTGGGAAAGGTATTTTCATTTTTGAAACAGGGGATTCATTTCCGGTGTGCGCAGACCCCACCTTCCAGACCTGTCATTACCGAAAGCTCTGCGAATATAACTTCACTTTCTTGGGGACCGTTCAGTATCGTAGATCAGATTAACAAGTAGTATCTCCAGAAATTATCCTGACGCTGACCTCTTCCGATTCGGCGAATTCGTCTTCGCGCCTTCGCTACAAGGACGCATTGATGTCGAGACCTTCTTCGATAGTGTACTGGTCGAGCTGCCATTCGCCTTAGTGAGCTGTTAGCCGTCTTGATTCGTTCATGTTTTCGTCTATTAACAACACCTTGGTCTTCTGTACCGAAAGAATGCCATGTACGTATTGCACAAGATCAAAATAAAATCGTTTTAGGCGGATTTCGCTGATCTTCTTTCCTTCGTTTTCATTAGATACCGGTCAGTGGTTGGCGGAGAGGGCTTCGTGAGTCTGTGCGATCTTCTCTTTCGTTTCGAACAACTTCATCCAGGTTCATTGGAGAAATGTGAAAAAATGGCTCTGGAGTGGTAAGTTGAAGTACCTATTTTCGTACGTTTTTTTATTCTCACAAAGCGTTGTTTATGCAACGCTGAATATGGTGTTTTTAGTACAAATTTGAGCCGAGCTCTCCTTCTTTATGCTTCATGTTGTCTTGTAAAAGCGAAACTGCCGAAGAAATGCAAACTGGAAGCAGTTGAGCCAATGGAGACTGGCGAAGAAGACGCTATCGTCCAAGGTATTTAGCTTTAGCGAATCTTTTTTTAACGAAATAATCCCCAAAAACCCTATGAACGGAGTCAGCTGATGGCATTGGTGAAAAAGCAAACACTACATTGCAACTTGAAAGGCACAGACGACCGTCCAGTGGCTGAGAGCTACCTCCAGAAAAAGTCGCATTTGCGTCAATCTGGTCTGAGTAGCATCTCTATGTAGAAGTGCTTCAGTGACGGAATTGCGTCTTGAAGAGGGCTCATTCTCAATGGTGCATGCTGTGATTCGCTTTTTTCGTGCAATAGGATCGCAGCGTGATGCGGATTTATATATACTAAGTGTGTGGAAACTTTGAGATAAATGCTCATGAAAGCTCTGCAATCTATTAGGATACAAATGTGTGTGAGACTTTTCATGAGCGTGGAGTGCAGATGCAAATTGCGAAGTGAGGAGACTATAGGACACGTTGCCATGTAAGACAATCGCTTGCCGCACTTGAGCCTTCTTCAGGAATGTGTATTCGTATAGCTAATACCTTGCAAATGCAACGCAGTCGGATGAAGCTTTCTTAGGTGCAGGTGCGTGAAAGCTTTTACTGTTGTCAGCCCATCTCTGCATAATTCACTTCAGCTGAGTATATTATGCGTTGACTAGCGAAGTACTGAGATCAGCAATGACCGCTTCAGTTGTCCAGGCAGACGTAGTGTGGCACCTTTTAGTATTTTCATATCTTAGTATTATGATGTGGGATTCAGTCCGCTCTTTCTCGCACTATTGATTTATAGTCGACTTAACAATTCTTTTGATAGAGACGGCCGTTCTCATAAACTCAGGTTTGTACGCTGAATATTCTCTTTTTATGCTGTTAGATTTACTAGTTTACTTCTCATCTATGCATAATTATAAATCTGATGTACGGATGATACTACCAAGCGCGTCACACTTGAACAGCACAATAGCTGGGATCATAGCAAATCACAATAAATTTCAATGAATCCTTGCGATTTACGCAGGTGAATCTCATACTTGCCTAGCGAGCATATATAGTATCCACAAAGACGTTAAAGTAGGAGTGCACCACCTAAGGCTTCTCCGCTCGCTTATTGGTAGAATGGTTCTTGCCTGGTTTTCGAAAAGCGCTTCTGGACGTCAGACAGGGCAAGTGATCACTGATGGATGGCTGGCTACGATTGCCCGAGTACGCAAGACTCACGCGTGGAACGGGGCTCTGTCGGTTCTTTTCGTATGGTACGTCATTGTGAGGCAGTCTCGCACTGGCGGACCGTTACCCTTGCGCGCTGTGGGTGTGGCCTGCGCTGCTATTCCTTTGTAAGACCGCTATCTACCAGGCACGTTCAATATTGCCATTTCGAACCAGGACCACTCACTCCATTCATGTCCGGTTGCCTTTAAAATACCACTTATCGTTAGCTACTATAATGGGAGCTGGATGTGTGGACGCTAATGGTTGTCAAGGAGATAGCGATAGACTAGTGATATTAGTTATAGTTGTCGGGTATATGAACAGAAACGATTCTATTTTTCACTTGCTAGAGAAGCGCACGGATCCGAACTCGAAGGCTACAACAGGCCGATCCTTCAAGGGTCGGTCGGTGAAGTCGGTAAGCACATGGTTTGCTCTCTCGGTTTTTCGTCATCCGGGGACAGGTTTGGTATTCAATGAGCAACCTAGAGAGAAGTGATCCAGACTCGTCTGAGTGGGATTCGATCTCAGTTGCATCTGCAACTGCGCAGAATAAAAGGTGCCCCAGGTCACAGCAGCACCACAGCCACTGCCAGTCTCTATCATCAGATTGTTCGAGTAGCATAATAGGAGTATCAATAAATCGGCCTGCCTAACTGCTTGTCGGTCGGGGATTTTTCGGGGAATTTGTCACTACATTGCAGAAGCGCAGTTACGAACGTTCCTGTCGCTCCAGTGTTCGTTAGATATAGTCTGATTGACCCAACAGCTACTTTCTATCTGTGGCGCTTGTTTCATTTTCATCATTGTTGTGTGGCGAGCGGGCTTATTATTATGTCTTATTTTTTAGTTTTGGAAACGATTGCTTCGAAGATGGGCTAGTTAGATAGATCGCGCGTGCCTCCAATAGAACTGGGCGAAGACGGCAAGAGGCTGCTCTCGGATGTCCATGGGGAAGCAACCATATCGGTTGTCGGGGAAAGTATCTCATTGTTATTCGCTTGTGTTGCTTTGACTCGCATAATCACATAAATCGGAGTATGTTCGTGTGGTCAACAAGCGTCGTATGTAAGATAGGCTAGGGTTGATTGATAGAATTGTTTATTAACCAAAGATACCGGGTGGTGATAGGCTACAGTGTTGATGCTTGCACACACCTTTGCTTATCATGCTGTTGACTCCGTTCTGACGCTTATCAGCTCTAGCGTATCAGCGGGACGATGCTCGCTAATTCAATAGAATTGTGGATATTAGGGTCTCACTATACTGCGGTCTGTTCATAGTCTCGCCGGCCGTGCACAGGACCGGAACTTGAAACCGCGTAGCAGGACATGGGTTAGCCTGTTCCAGATGGCCGTGGTTACACTGTGCGGCGATTCGTCTAAGGTCACGCGATGCAGAAGCGATCTTGGGAAGGTAGACTGAAGGTTTTCATGGGTGGCTTTCGCTGATTCACCGGAATCACACAATGTCAGCACGATCGCATTCTAACCTGGCCGTCATTATCCAATATGAACTTGTCCTATCATCTCTCAGCAAAGTGCTGTTGTCATCACTAACTTATACTCTTCTGTTCTCCCCCTAACGAGTAGCTCAGTGCGCATCTGTACAGCCCCAACAAATGAGCAATGGCCTCTATTTTTCGTGACCTATAATAAGATAGTACTATTGTATTGCAACATGACTCTACCAATGTTTCGATTTCTAGATGCTCCACATTTATACCAGAACTGCGTTCTGTATCACAGGACTGTCAATGAGAGAGGTGATCTAGTGGTCATAATATAGCTGACTCAGATGCTATAAGTCTAGTTATATATCCAGCACGAGCTATCGCCTAGTTAGGCCTTTAATACCTACAGCTTACTTGCATAGACAGGGTGTTATGTCAATATTATTATCGCTGATTTAGATTCGTTGTTGTACGGAGTTCATGTTCTATTGTTTCTAATTTTTCATGAGCCGAATAATATGAGAATCTGTATTCTTCTTCCTCTTAAACTCGGTTTTATCCATGCTGGTTTCATCCAGCATTCGATCTTGCTAAGGATTTGTTTCCCTTTATAAGGTTTTTTTCTGTTTTGGATCAACCATGGCGCAGATCTTCAGGTGGAGTTCCTAACGAGGTGTCACGAACTTTTGAAAATGCTTATGGATGACGTCCGAGATTCACCTCCTCCTTCGCATATCCAGCAGGATCATTTGATTGAGGTGTGAATTTCCTTCAATTTTTTGTCGTGCATCAAATAATAAAATTTCTTGTATCTAAGGGTCTTTTTGGGTTTGCTGAATCGAAATCGTCTTTCAAATTTCCATCTTTTTTTTGACAGTAATGAGCTTTTATTAATTATCTCTCAAAGTTGTTGTGTGCATGGAATGCCCTTTGTGATAGCTATTCCATGCATTCGTAGACCTACTGAACTTCGGTGTGAAAAAGATTCTCTTCCAGATAGCACAATCACATCCGCCGGCAAGTTTACAATTGACAGGCGCGTCTAGGGACTCACTGGTAGAGCTGGCAATTCGCCAACAATTAGTGAATTACCATCTCGTACTGCATCATTACCATTTGGCAGTGGCCGCCGCAATTCAGGTGAAAAATAATCGGAATCGCGGTCTTTGTCTCATATTCTTTCAAATTTTAGCTATCGGCCGGTCTTCGTTATCATATACTGCGCGTTCTCTTCTGTCCAATTGGTCAACGAGCTTTCTTCCTCCCCTTAGATTCTCATCCATTGATACCGTTGGACAGAGTAGACGATGCCGTAGTAGAGCGAAGGCACCAGTTCCTTGCTAAGGTTTGCTTTCCTACGTTGATTGCATATGCATTTGAAAGGCCTCTTTTGCATAGTTCAGGTAGCTGAGCAAGGGACAGAGGTCGATCGCAAATTTGCTAGGATTTTGTCGTGTGACTGGAATTTAACTGTCGACACCATCCAAATAACGGTAAGTTTTCCTACACTCTTTGTGCTTGGGTAAAACTCCGAAATTTGTTGCTCTCCTACTCACGAGGTATTGTCTTTTCCATTTTTTCAGTTGATTCTGGAGGGATTTTCCATAATGCTCTGCGTTTATTAGGCCAAGAGAGGTAGCAGTCGACTCATTTGAAGTATATTGTTTGGAGAGGGTCTGGTGAAGTGTCCCACATCCCGCACATATTGTTCGCATAAAATCCTGTTTTTGCGCACATGCTCGGTGTTCCACACCATGGAGCTTTAGCTCCTCCGGGCTAACTTGAAAATGTTCGCAGCATCAGAGGGTGCCAAGAGTTGTCTCCAGCAAAAAAAAGATCTTAAAATGGGTCGACCATGTGGTTATCAACGCTCCCATCCTGAATCTTTATGTTCCCTCTACAATTACACGAAAATTTGTGTGCCTATTTTTTTATTTATTCCATTTATTTTATTTATTTCACTTGTTCATTTATATATTTCATCAGTAGTGTTTTCCCTATTTATGTTACATGGTGATATTTTCGTAATCATCAAGTTCTTCTCCCCTAATATTTTTACATGAAGTTATGCATTTTTTTGTATCACAGTCATTCCACCCTGTGATTTTTTCAGCAAGTCCTGTGTCATTTGCGAGCTGGACAGGACTCGGCCGCGGGTCGTGAGATGGCCGGCGTCACCCAATCCGCTCATCTGATAGAGACGATGTCGCGGATACTGGCCGCCCGCACTCTTCGACTAGCCGAGGAGGAGAAGACGGTGCTCACAGGGGCACACTTGAGGTGAGTTTTATAAGATCTAGTAGGATGACTGCTAGTGTGGGTGAGACGATGTGAAAAGGGAAGCAGGTAGATATCAAAGAGCTTGTTGTTAGGGTCTCTCTGACAACAATATTGCTTTCTCTCTCGCATCTTTCCATTCATGTTAATGCGCATGCATCAGTGGCGTGAATGCAGGGTGTATCGATTGCGATTGCAGTGTACTGTCGGTTAGGTGATCTCATTTTTTGTCGCAACTTGAATCCTCAGACTGAAACCCCTCTGAATATGTGCAATGATGTTGCAATCAATACACACATTCGTGCTTTAGTCACATTACAGTACTTCACGCAGGCCTACCCTGAAGCGTTTTGAGTTTCCTCCTTATTGTTCTTCCACACTTCACCTTTCTTCTGATATTGTGTCACCGTTTTGTTTTTGTCATTGTTTTTGAAGAAAGGCTAGAAAGTGACTCTTTTTGCCACAAGTTTACCGTACTGATTTCGGATTTTCTCAGTACCTGATTCGGCTTTAAGGAAAGCAGCATTCCAGCATTCCTTGAAATAGATGCTGGAAGGATGTAAGGATGGTAGTATTAGAGTGCTGTGCATGAGTTTATCTGGCCTTGAAGTCTAGCGTGGGAGTAGCAGAGTTCTGCACGAGCTACCTTGCCTCGAAGTGCAGCACCCCCGAGGAACATCACCAATTTTCTCAATCGTGAGGAACTGATTGTGGGGTTGATAGAGTGAAAAAGTAATTCACTCACGAACTCTTGACAATCCCTCCTTTTCTTAGCAGGATCTTTGATGGGAATAGGGTAAATAGGGGTCAGCGATTTTTACGGGGTCGTTTCTGCACCGATGAAAGCTAGAACCGATGACGTAGATGGGGAATGAAGTAGTCCCAAAACGGTAATTTTTTTCTCCAGTAAACATCCTCCCTGGCTCGGATTTTGGAAAATTTTTGAAAAAACTCGGGGAGTTGGGAGTGTGTCAGGAAGTAGCAACATCAAAGACGCTGCTACTAACTTTCAACACTAATGACGCTGTTGGCCCATCGACTAGAGGGGGCCGTATGGATCATGTGAGGAGGTCCACCAGGACATTTT